CCCCTCGCCTTCAGACTTGCCTTCTCTCGGCCAGGAAGTGCCTCTGTGCCCCTGCTGCTCTGTGTCAGCAGTGCTCAGGTAAAGAAGCATTGCTTGCATCTCCTCGGACTCTGAAGAGGCGGCCATCGAGCCTGTCGCTCGTTTGAGCTGAGGTGGCTGTCGCGTGCGGCGGGGGCCGCGCGTCCCAGCTGCAGCGCCCTGCCAGCGCAGGAGGGCTCCGGCCTTCCCGTCGGGAGTCGTGGCTCCTCTGCCGCGCTCCTCCTCTGCGGCCAGGGAGGAGGACGCGTGTTACTCATGTTTCTTCAAAGGGTCCGGGGGAAAAGAGAAAGGAAGAGATGAACTGACTCAGTTTTACCCGCGGCGCTGTAAATCGTGTGTTGCAATGTGGCGCTAGGATGTTGCATCAGGACGTGGCAGTTGTAGCAAAGCGGTGGGTGTCACAGCCACGGGGGAGGCCCTGCGGGGCTCTGCGCCTTCCCCTCCGCGTGGTGGCTTCAGGCCCGTGCCCCTGCTGCTGTGCCAGCAGGGAAGGTGTTATTTAAATGACATTGTACCCCACTATGTTTTCTTGGCCTCGGGCCCAGGGATCTCTTTGAGGCAGGCGTCTGTGCTCTGAGTGCCCACATCCCTCCGTTTGCCGCTGTGTCGCAGCAGCGCAGAAGTGCTCAGGTTTCTTCACTTCTTCCTGGAAGTCTACAGGGAAAGCGAGGAGGTGTTATGGCAGAGCTGTAATGTCTTTACTCCCAGAGCCGTTAGTTTTGAAAGTGTATGTAATATTTCCTGGATATTTCACATTGCCTTTATCTCAAGATTGAAACAATAGTGACCAGGAATTTGTCCCTGAGAAACAAAACTGTAGGTTAATAGCAATGATAAGGGCAGGAGACACGGAGAATATTTTAGCAAATTCTTGATAGTCAAGGTAGATTTTGGTAGTTAATTGTTATTATTTTGGATTTTTAAAAAGCTCTTCTGCTTTACTGTAGAAGAAAATTCATGGTATCAGAGAGAAATCAAATAAGTGATAATATCAAAATTAAATTTTATATTTAAACATAAACTCTTGAGGAGAGGGCTGATGTCTTAATTATGTGGCTGTGGAAGTAGCCGTATCCATGGTGGTGGGTTCGGGGACTTTGAGGAACTTAGGCAAAAAGAGGGAGGTGATAAAAAGAAATCTCCTTTAATCCTGATGAGGGTGGTTTTGATGTGCGACAACAGTGGGCTTTTCAGTACTGAAGTCCAGAATTTGTCAGACTTGCACAGCCAGAAATAGGTAGCATTCGGTCTTCACAGCCCTTGCCACCTGGGGGTCTGGCCCGGTCAGGCTCCAGGGATGGAGAAACAGCCGGGCTCCCAAGGACAGAAAGAGCGGGCAGGAGCTGAGCCCTGTGTGCCCTTCTTCTCCGCCACCCCCTGGGAGTGCCGGGGGGAGAAGGCAGGAGCGCTGCACACCCCTTGCATCCTCCCCCGCGCAGCAGGAGACGTCAGTGGTGGGGAGGAGCATTTCTGCCCCCACCGAGTGGTAGTAGCGTGTGGTCTGGAGGCTGTTAGAACAGGATGGAGACTCAGAGCAGACTTAAATGATTTATACACCGTTTCCATCATTCACAAAATTACTAGACATGCTCTCAAGACTGTGTGAGAGAGTTCAGAGTATTGTTTGTATTAAGTCCGTATCTTCTGTAGTTGCACGCTGAAATATATACAGTTGAACTGATAGGCTGTTTTTACCTCAAAATAATACAGGGTCAAGAGAGAGACAGTGCAGCAAGATTGTCCATGGTGTGGGGGGGAGGGAATAGCTCAGTAGAGCACCTGCATAGCATGCGTGAGGTCCTGGGTTCAATTTCCTGTACCTCCATCAAAAAAATAAAATAAAATAAATAAACCTAATTGCCTCCCTCCTGGGGGGAAAAATAAAAGATTGTTCACGATGTGTCAGTTGTTGAAACTAAGTGATGGGTACATGGGGTTTATTGTATTATCTCGATGCAGTTCAAAGCTAAACTTTGGCATTGGCTGTTTCTCCTCAGCAAGCCACACCACCTGAGTCTCTGTTTCCTAATCTTCAACATGAAGATAATAAAACCTACCACATAGATTGTTGTGGTGATTCAGTTAAAATAACAAGTTACGTGCCCACGGCATAACACGTAGGAATTGCTAAAAAATTGGTGGCTTATGTCTCTAAATGGAAAAAGATTGCGGTCTCTTCCTCCTCAAACATGAAATACTTGCTTTCGTGGGATGTGTGTCTTCCCCCCCAGCTGAGTATATTAACTCGAATTTTGTTTTGACAGCTCAGGTGCCTAAAAGGCCAGAGGGGCTTCTCCAGCCAACCCCCTTTTGATGGAATCCACATCGTCAACCATTTAATAGGAGATGACGAATCATTCCATTCCTCTGATGAAGAGTTCATAGATAACTCCTTACAGGAAAGCGGCGTCGGCTTTCCTTTGCACAGAAAGTCTGGCCTGACGTCTCTGGACCCCACCGTGGCAAACGGCAGCGAAAGCGATGCAGAAGACAGCGTGCCAGAGGCCAGAGAGGGCCACGGCGGTTCTCCGAAGGAGCGGCCCCCGAGGAGAGAGTCGTACTCCACCACTGTCTGACCGTCACTGTGACCTGGACTGTGGGCTTTTTTAAGGGATCAGTTATCAGATGATTAAGGGTTTTTGGAACATATCTGTTTCATATGTGTACATATATACATATATGTATATATATATATATTTTACAATCTTATCTGCCTTTTTATCTTTGCCAAATCTTCACCACTGACTTACCATTGCCATGAAGTAGACTGGAATATGGTTAATGGGAAAAATAAGGTTCTAACAGTATTACTGAAGATTAATGTTTCTTGTTTAGAAAATGCAGTTGTATCTATATGTGGGAACCGTTTTGAAGTTCAGAACTATGGAAAGTTGAATTTTTCAAACAAAACTGTTCTTGTGCAATATTTTATGCTCAGTAAACAAGTTGTATATTTATGTTTATCAATTTGTTTTCAGGGCAGCTGTCTACACACATTTGACCAAGACATACATCTCATTTACCTTGGGTTTTTTTGTGTTTGGGAATTTTTTTTTCCAATTAAAATTACTGCTTTGTTGGTGGGCCACTGAAAATTCCCAAACACAAAGCCTTCTTTTCATATGATTTTGTAAACAAGTTCATGGTTATCTGTCTTGAGAATTTCACATTTTGTTGTAATTTCAAAGTTTTATGTGCATATGATGCTTCCATGTGTTGCCTACCGGTCAGAGTAGTAAGTTAACTACAAATATATTGTTTTTTTGTGTATATTTATAAACCTGCATCACCCAACATTGAACATCATTTTATATGGAGAATGTATGTGTTGCAAAATGACTGCCTTCAGCATTCTAACAGGACTTCTGTAAATGATAGGTTAAAAGAAAATTGAAAATAAATCCGAACACTAATATTTTAATAGCTTTAATATTTTGCTTAGCACTCAACACTAGCAGATTCATAACTTAACTGATGGTTGTTCAAAAACACTATTGGTGAAATCTTTTACTTCATGTGTATGTAACTAATAAATTTTTCATGATTAGAGAGATGATAGCACGCATTATTTAGTGCTAATATTCTATGTAATACAATTTAAGCAGTGGACTGAGGTCCAGGGTACACAACAATTATATCTGCAAATAATCTGTGAACATTATCTTCAGATTCTCTAGTTACTAATCTAAAGATATAGCAAGCCATAAGAATCCTTTCCTACCAATTCTGTTGTATCATCTAGACTTTTTTTTCCCTAGAAAACAATACCTGTCATTGATAAATTGGAGAAAACACTCAAACTACACTTACTCTGTGAAAAGATGTGTTGACTGAATGCTTTTCATTCTCATTTTAATCAGCAGCCTTGGGGAAAAAAAACAGCCTTCAAGAATAAGAGGAAGGTAGAATTCAGTAAATATGGAGGTACAATTTTGCACAGTATGTTGCATGGAGAAAAAAAATTACATGACAGAATGGAATAGAAGAGATAAAAGTAGGTTTCTGTCTAAAACCAGGAGTTATGCCTTATTAAAGATTTTCCCAGCGAGCCCTTTGTAGCTATTTGCTTGAGAAACAAGACTGAAAACTTGCCTACCGTGTCGGCAGCACCAGGCTAAATCTAGTGGTTAAGCAGTTTATCTGTGGTCACAGGTCAGTAAGTAGCAGAGCCAAGGCGTTAATCCAGATCTCTCTGACTCCAGAGCGTTTGAAAAGGCTTAGCTAATGAATTTCTCAAATTCCCTGCTTTTCTGACAATTATGTGATTTAAATAAATTTGATTTAAGTGTTTCCTGAATATATTACAGCTATAGATATATATATGTGAGCACACAGCTTTACACCACTTACGAGTGTAGATACGCCTCCTAGAACTGGCTGACTGGCACTTTGGGATTCTCTTTGGTTCATTACTATCTGCGTAGAGGCTATTGCTGCCCAAGTGAAATTAGATGATTCATGGCCACGTGACAACTTTGACCCCCCCATCAGGAAATCTGAATAACACAGCCCATGAGCCAGTTCCCTCCAACCACCTGTTTTTATGGGGCCCACAAGCTAAGAGTAGTTTTTTACATTTTCAAATAGTCGAGTTAAAAATCACAAGGAGAATGTTTGCGTCACGTGAAACTCGTGCACTCCGAATCTCAGGGCTGACGGAGCTCTGTGGGCGCGTACCCTTGCTTACTCTTTTGCACTTGTCCGTGGCTGCTTTTGTGCTCCAGAAGCAGCGGAGTAGCTTGAAACACCTGCTCTCTGTCCCTTCAGAGGAAGAGCTGGCTGCCCTGATCTGAGACTCTCAAACGCAGGTTTGCCTCTTCAGTTTGTGTCAGTAGAAGATTGAACCATTTGCTTTTGCTGTTGAGCTAATGCTTTGGGAACCTAAAGTTTCTTGGTGGGTCTCATACTCAGGACTAGTGACAAGGGAGCGTGTGCCAGCTATTTTAGGTTACGAAGTCTTTCGTGCCATAGGCAAATTTGGAAGGGCATTTCTGCCTTTGGAGGTGGAGAGAGAAAGCAAGGAGTTCCGGAATCCCGGCACAGTGCTTGAGCGCGCGTGTCATCGGCCCTCAGGGGTGCTTCGTTGAGTCAGTGTTACAATCTTACTTTAATGAGAGAATATCTCTCTAGAATCACGTTTCAACTCTAAACCTTGAAAGATATTCTTAGAGAATTTCCCAGGTACTGTTTCTGGCTAGGAATTAGCTGTTAAGGAATCACAGGAAGTAAGCCGGAGTCTGTCGAGGCTTCTGTAATTTGGACAATGAAAGACTAGAAACAGCAACCTTCTCACCTAAGACCTTTGATGCAGATACTTCTCAGGAGGATTTAAACCTTCCCGGCCTTTAGGGTGCGATGGAATAGAGACTGCGTTCTGATTTGACTCCATGTCATTCAAATGAAGACTCTGAGGCGTTGGACCATGTTCTCTTGACAGATCTTATTTAATCTCTGGTATTTTCGTGTCATTTAAATATTACTCTGCCAAACACTTAGAGTGGAGGAACCCTCAGCGGGTTGGAGGAATGAAATAAACTTTTTAAAACTCACAAAGTATTTACCCCCTTGGGATGGTTATTTCCTGGTGTCATTGCCATCATGGAGTGAAATGCTGAGAGTAAAAACCGCAAGTCATCTGAATAAAGTGGAAATTGCATTGAGGCGATGAAACAAGAGGCTTCATACATCAAGAAAGTATTTCAGCTTTGCAAAAAATTAGTGAATTTTTTCTTCCTGGAAAAATACATCAAAGATACAACTTTACACCATTTTGGCCCTTTTTACTGACAAGTAGTAGGCACTCACTGTTTGATGACCAATTGAGACATCAAGTCCCAACCACCTGGCTGGCTATTTGGGGAGAAAAAACAACTTTTTCTTAGCTCTGAACATGATACAGCTTGTCACTCTCCAGATAGTGCCTTTGATTGAAAAGATGGTCTAGGCCTTTTTAAGTGTTTTACTTCTGACATAAGAAATGATTTGGTTCCTTGTTCTTTACTTTTTACATAATTAGATTCAAAGTAAAGTAAGTGTATGAGTTGTGCTTTGATAAAGCCCTTTCCTGGCCGGTTTGATTACTGTGGAGGCATCAGATGTCGACAGCTAACAGTTCATGGAATCAGTGATTTACTTTATTAAATCAATGAGCTTTAGCCTGAAAGTTATTGCTGCTCTGTCATTAATGAAACAGGTTTTAAAATTAACTTGTTCTGCTGAAATTAAATTTTCTGGTTAGAAATAGAGTGGATGCTGTTTATCATCCAGGTTTTACATCCCATGCATTGATCTACCTGCCCCTTCTCCTCACTCCAAAGAAGAGAGAACAGAATAATACACTAGATGTGCTACAGAGACGCAGAATTATAATGTGTTTCATTTTACTGTTGGACTTTCTTATTACAGCATTGTATGATAACCTGAAATGTTTACTTGTGCCTTTGCTTTAAACAATTAAAATGTTCCATTTTATAAAAATTTGTTTCTTTAAACTATTCAACGTAAAAGGGCAGAGACATCTGTTTAAAAAAAAGCTGTTTAAGGGGGCAGGGTATCGCTCAAGTGGCAGAGCACAAGCTTAGCATACAGAAGGTCCTGGGTTCAGTCCCCAGTACCTCCTCTAAAAATAAAGAAGTACATTGAACTACCTCCCCCCACCAATATCAATTAATTAATTAACATATATAAAGGAAAACTTTAAAAGCTGTTTTAAAATGCACAGCCTAACATCACCCACTCATTCGTGAGACTTGTGCTCCGTGGCTGCGGGGACCGTGTCCACCTGGCCACCCCATGTATAGTCAGTGCCAAACAGAGAGCCAGGTGCACAGTTTCCCGGTTAACAAAGGCCAAGTCTCTCGAACATGCTAATTATTTGAAGATATTAATGGCAATATTTTCATTTCACGTTGTGTTTTAGGTTATTAAATTAGCAACTAATTCAATAAATACATTTAAATATATAATTTGAATATATGTACAGACGCAATTATAAAAAGAATGTTAGGCCTTCGTTATCTTTATCACAATGTTAATATCATTTAATTCAGAAGCAGTAGTTCATCATATAGTCTGCTTATTCCTAAAAGGATTTTAGGCCCTTTGTAAAGATACACGAAACATGACAAGACGGTTGTAGTCCAGGGTTTGTTTACCTGGGCACTGCTGACATTTGGGGCCACATTGTTGCAAGTGGCTGTCCTTGCATTGCAGGGTGTTTATCAGCATCCCTGAGCTCTGCCCACTAAACGCCAGCAGCACCCCCTCCTTAAGCTGTGACAGCCCAGAATGTCTCCAGTTGCCAAAACAGGGGAGGACCGAGAATAAAAACCACCCTGATTGAGAATCTCTGGTATATTTAGAAGTGGGGTCAAAACCCAAAAAGCCACTGGGACCAAAACTAAAAATATATACACCCTACTGAAGATGGGTAACAAATTTGACTGTTTGTAGTAGTCGGTGAGAAAAGTAAAACCTGAACCACAATGAGCCACTGTAGGGTGGCTGTTAAGACACACAATGTAACAAGCGTTGGTAAGGATATGGAAAAGTCGGAACCCTTGTCCATTGCTGCTGGGAATGTAAAGTGGGGCAGACATTGTGGAAGGTTTTGGCAATTCCTCAAAAAACCCTAAATGTAGATTTACCATATGGTCCAGCAATTCCATTTCTGCACATAGACACGAAAGGAAACAGGGAGGCAGACGGATACGTGCACACCAGCATTCACACTGGCACTATGCACAGCGCCGAAAGGTAGAAACAAGTGACCATCAGCAGATGACTGGGTAAATAAAATGCGGTGTACACAAACGATGAAACACTATTCAGCTATGAAAAGGAATGAAGTTCTGATACCTGTTACATTATGGATGAACCTTGAGAAATGCTAAGTGAAGGAAGCAGACACACAGTGTGCTTCCACTGGTAGGAAGTACCTAGAGTGGCAAGTTTACAGACAGGCTCACAGGTGTGTCTGCACTGCTCACACACCCAACCTGCAGACGTTAACCGGGTGCAGGAGTGTGCAGCAAAGGGAAGTTGCTGCTTAGTGGACACAGAGCTTCTGTTCGGAATGGTGGAAAAGTTCTGGAAACAGATAACAGTGATGGTTGCACAACACTGAATGTATTTAATGCCACTGAATTGTACACTTGAAAATGGTCAAAATAGTTTTTAAAAAACAGGCAAGCTAAGAACTTAGAGTCAGCTTATAAATTAAATACGCTCAAATATATACAGAAGGGGGGAAAAAGCTAAAACCAGAAGAGCTACCAAATTTGCAGGGCCCATGAAGCAAGAAGATTCTTCAGGCGTAGAACCCTGGTACTGGACTGGGCTCGAGCTTTGTGCTGCTGAACCCTGGGTAGATCACAGGGCCTTGTGGCTTCCCTGCTGCTCCTTGCACACTGCACTCCCACCCCGGGCCTGCGCCTTCCTCCGTGGCCTTCTGCCACATCCCACAGGGCTAGCTCCCTAATGCGCTGGTCTCTGCTCTTGTCACCGCACAGAAGGCCTTTTCTGACACCTCCTCTGAAAAAGCCCCTTCCCAGCTGTTTCCTTGGCAGCGCGGTAGCCGTCTGGCGTCCTGTGCGTTTTCTGGCTTCTGTCTGCCCACACTAGAATCCAGGCTCTCTGAGTTTTTGTGCCTTCGCCCCAGTACTGAGAACAGTGCCTTGGCTCGCTGTACATATCTGTCAAATGGGTAAATGAATAGTTGAATAGATCTCTGTACCTCAGTTTGTTCACTATTAAAATGGAATAAACAACATCTGAAATACAAATGTTGGCAGAAACCCCAGGATCCCAGTGCAGCCAGCCTCACTCCGGAGCCCTCTAATGACTGAACGCTGCTTTGGCGTGTCCACCAGGCATGCTGAGGAGGCAGAGACGAACCAGACCCTCTCCTGTTCTCCAGCGCGGAGTGAGAGATACAGACACAGTGACGTCAGAATGCAGAGATTACGTCCAGCCGAGGGGGAGGATCACCTTCGTCCCCCTCCTTACTCCTTGCCCACCCAAAAGCCCCACCCTGCGGCAGGGCAGGCCATGACGCTGCCACCACTGTTCTGTGAGCCCCTGTGACCTGCTCTGACACAGGTGCCGATGCTATCCGCTCCGAGTGTATGACTTCATCTCTGCTGCGCTCTAGATTTTACCAAGGACGTCCAGAAATGGAGCGTCTTAAACCAGTGTGTGGGATTTCAGGCCCAGAGAACCTTTTCATATGTATCCTCCTGAGCTGACTCTTACAAGGGAACTGCTGCCGTGTCCACATTAAGGTCAGAGGCTGTCCTTACCCCCTCGACCCCCCAGGCTGGCCACTTTTTCAGAGACTGCAAGGGTCTTCTTCTGAGGCCGTCCTTAGGAAGAGGAGACGGCAGGGCCAGGTGGGAAGAAACTAGTTGGCTTTCAAGATGTTGCTTCTCTGATTTTTTTTTTCAAAGGAAATGCATACTGTACACATGAGAGACTCCAAGGCTAAGAGATGCCGTGGCAGTTGAGATGCACCTGGAGCTCCTAACTGCTCCTGCCCCTGCTTCAGGGGCTGGGCCCGCCGCCCCTGCACACAGCCCTCCCTCCTCGGCAGGCGGGCAGAGCAGCCGGTCCGGCCACTGCGCCGCCAGCCTCATCTCCTCCCCCCCGAAGAGCTCTTCCTTCTCTCCAGGCAGAGGCTTTCCTGGTCTCTGGTGCACCTCTCCCACCCCCACCCGGGACCGGACGAGGTGGCCGTCCTCGGTGTTGGCTGCGCTTCTCTCTTCAAGGCACGAGCGTGGAGGACCTGCCTGCCCTGTTTTATAAACTCCTAGCCCTTGCGCCCTTCACCGGAGCTCAGGACGGGGCCAGCCGCACTCGGCAGAGAGAGTTTTCAACCCCTTGGCTCCCGAGTTTGTCTCTGCAGCCTCCTCGCTACACATAAGCCCAGATAAACCTCCGGTCAGGAGCAGGCTGCTCAGCCGAAAGGGCTCTCGGAGCCCACCCCTCTGCCCGCCTCATCAGCCCGAGCTGCTGCAGGAACGCACAGGCAGCTGCCCGGCGGGGAGGGGGCGCCCCAGGCAGCGGGGGTCGTGACGGGAAGCATGAGCATCTCAGTATAGAGAAAAACATGATGCGCTTCCCCCCAGGTAACTCTTAGCCAACTCGGAGGCCAAGGCAGGCCCAGCCCCGCCCCGCCCTGTCCCGGCCAGCTGCCGTCCCGCTGTGCCCCGCGGAGGGGCGCTCCTGCCGCGCTGGGGGTGGAGTAGTCACGGGCCCACGGGGGCTGCGGGGAGGTGTGATGTCTGGTCTGGCTCACGGCCCTTGACACTCTGTAGCTATTTTAAACGGATCCCACAGCCTTTCATTTGCTTCACTAATTTCTCTAAAATAGAATTGTTTATTTGTGGGTCAAAATTGGAGAAGCTTCTTATTCATCACCAAACTTCTCTTTGATGAGCCTGGAGACAAGTACCAGAGCTCAGAAGGGCTTGGCCCCTAGAAAGCGCTCCGTGACCGTTAGCCCACGGCGCACAGCGTCTCTGACTCCCCAGAACCAACGTGGGCCCCTCAGTCTGCAGGTACGGGTTTGAATGTTCCTTCTGCTCTGGCTTCTCATCTGCACCCCAGTTCTGCGGTCCCACTGTCTACACGGCACGTCCACATAAATGTGCTCGCAGTGATGGCCCGACACTCTCTCTTTCCTTGTGTCTGCCAGCGGCAGTAATTTGCTAGCTGTTGTTGTCATTATTAACACATACCCTAAAGTCTCCTGGCTTACCATGTCATTTCTCACTCACGCTACATACACGTCTGTCAAAAGTTGGCCGCTGCTCTGCCCTACCTCATGTTTCTTCCAGGAACCAAGCTGATGGAGCCACTGCTGTCTCGAACGTGGATGACTGTTATGGCGGAAGCAACAGTGATGTGGTGAACCGTGTGCTGGCTCCCACAAGCTTCTGCCAGGAAGGGATCCATGTCATTTCCAGTCACATTTTATTGGCTAAGGTAAGTCACACGACTAAGACTCCTCCAAGGAGAAGCAGTAAATATTTGGAAACATGGTACTTACTTTGTGCCCAAAGGCATTTCAAAATAACAGCTTTATTATGTTGTGTATAATTCACACATCACAAAATTCTGCCTTTTAAAGTACACAATTGCAAAATTTTTAGTATATGGACAGCTGTTCAACCATTAGCAGTAGCGATAATGGTTCACACCAATTTCAGAATATTTTCATCACTCCTAAGAGGAAGGCCCATACTCTCTGTGTTCTCCCCTCCTCCAGCCCCGACTTCCAGCACACAACTACAGATCCACTTTGTTTCTGTGGGCTTGCCCATCCAGAACACCTCTTACAGATGAACTTATACAGCATGTGACCTTCTGCAAAAAATAATCGCATACTGTTCTGGAGGCCCGTTCACGCTGTGCGTGTGTGAGTGCCTGACCCCTTTCTCCGCCGAACGCTCCGGGGTGCGGGTGCGCCCTGTTCACCTGCGCTCACAGGCTGATGAACGCGGGCGCTCACAGCTCTGTGCTGCCGTGAGCGTCCGTGCGCGTGCTTCTGTGTGGGCTCAGTCTTCAGTTCTCCTGGGCGTATACTTAAGAGTGGGATTTTGGGGGCATATGGTAATTCTGTTTAATATTTTGAGGAACCACCAAATTGTTATGCGTCTGTAGCATGTTACAGGCCCGTGGACACTGTGGTGAGGGTTCCAGTTTCTCCACTTCCTCAACACTTGTTACTGCCTGTCCTTTCCTTTCTTTTTTTTTTTTTTTTTTAACATTTTTTATTGATTTATAGTCATTTTACAATGTTGTGTCAAATTCCAGTGTAGAGCTCAATTTTTCAGTTATACACGAACATATATATATTCATTGTCACATTTTTTTCTCTGTGAGCTACCACAAGATCTTGTGTATATTTCCCTGTGCTGTACAGTATAATCTTGTTTATCTATTCTACTATTTTGAAATCCCATCTGTCCCTTCCCACCCGCTGCCCCCTTGGCAACCACAAGCTTGTATTCTATGTCTATGAGTCTGTTTCTGTTTTGTATTTATGCTTTGTTTGTTTTTGTTTTTGTTTTGAGTCCACATATGAGCGATCTCATATGGTATTTTTCTTTCACTTTCTGGCTTACTTCACTTAGAATGATGATCTCCAAGAGCATCCGTGTTGCTGCAAATGGCGTTATGTTGTTGGTTTTTATGGCTGAGTAGTATTCCATTGTATAAATATACCACTTCTTCTTTATCCAGTCATCCGTTGATGGACATTTAGGCTGTTTCCATGTCTTGGCTATTGTAAATAGTGCTGCTATGAACATTGGGGTGCAGGTGTCATTTTGAAGTAGGGTTCCTTCTGCATATATGCCCAAGAGTGGGATTCCTGGGTCATATGGTAAGTCTATTCCTAGTCTTTTGAGGAATCTCCACACTGTTTTCCATAGTGGCTGCACCAAACTGCATTCCCACCAGCAGTGTAGGAGGGTTCCCCTTTCTCCACAGCCTCTCCAGCATTTGTCATTTGTGGATTTTTGAATGACAGCCATTCTGACTGGTGTGAGGTGATACCTCATTGTAGTTTTGATTTGCATTTCTCTGATAATTAGTGATATTGAGCATTTTTTCATGTGCTTATTGATCATTTGTATGTCTTCCTTGGGGACTGCTTGTTTTGTCCTTTTCTATTCTGGGCGTCCTGGCGGGTGTGACGCTGCATCTGACTCTGGTTGTGATTTGCACTTTCTCGGTGGCTAATGATGTTGGGCATCTTTTCATGTGTTTATTGACCCATTATATATCTTCTTCGGAAATATCTATTCAAATCCTTTGTCCGTTTTTTTAATTGGGTTCTTTGTTTTTCTATTATTGAATTGTAAGAATTCTTTGTATATTCTGCATACAGGTCCCTTATCAGATACATGATTTGCAAATATTTTCTCCTATTCCCTGAGCTATCTTTTCACTTTCTTTTTTTAAAATTATTCTTTGCACTTTCTTAATGGTGTCCTTTGAAGCACAAAAGTGTTTAACTTTGATAAAGTCAATTTTGTCTTTTTTTTCTTTGGTTGCTTGTGGTTCTGGTGTCATATCTAAGAAAACATTGCCTAATTCAAGGTCACTATGTTTTCTTCCAGGCTTATAGTTTTAGCTCTTATATTTAGGTTGATGGTCTATCTTGTATATGGTGTAAGGTAGGAGAGAAGTACTTTTTTTGTTACAAATATTTTATTTTGGAAAAATTTTAGATTTACAGTAAAGCTGCAAAGATACTGCAGAGAGTTGCCATATACCCTTCACCCAGCTTTCCCTAATGTCTAACGTAACTATAGAACACTTGTCAAAACAAAAAAAATCAATGATATGTAGTTTTTACTGAACTACAGACTTTATTCAGATCCCACCAGTTTTCCCACTAACATACCTTTTTTCTATTCCAGGATCTAATACAGGATAAAACATTGCATCCAGCTAATTGTTTTTTATATATTAAGTCATTTAATCCTCAAAACAATATAATTATCTTCACTTCATAATTGGAGAGATTAAAGAATCAAGAGTGTAAGTAACCTGCCCAAGGTTATATAGCTAGTAAGTGACAGAATGTTTCTCATCTTCATCATCAATTCTAAATCCTGGGTAAATTACATTACATTCTCCAGTTGCCTCCCCAGAAAGGTGCATGGGAGTTAAATGTTGTGAGATGTTGCTAGTCTGGAAATGTTTTTATTCTATTTGATTGATAGTTTGGGCAGTATGGCAGGGGTTGCAGTATCTTTGGGCTCTAAGATTTCACAATGATACCCCTTGACATAGGGGCTTTTCTCATTCATTGTGTTGAGTCCTCACTGGATCCTTTCAATAGGGAGACTTATGTCCTTTAGATTTGGATACATTTTTCTTATTCCTGTGATAATTTCCACACTATTAGTGGGATGTTGGGGCCCCTGGATTGCTCCTCTAACTTTCCTGTCTTCTTCTCTCCAGTTTTCCTTATTTATTTAGTTAGTTATTTTTTAAAACTGAAAATATACGTACTCATTGTTATGTGACTTGATTTTTTCCTACTTTTTTTTAACATTTTTTATTGAGTTATAGTCATTTTACAATGTTGTGTCAAATCCCAGTGTAGAGCACAATTTTTCAGTTGTACATGAACATACGTATATTCATTGTCACATTTTTTTTCACTGTAAGCTACCACAAGATCTTGTATATATTTCCCTGTGCTGTACAGTGTAATCTTATTTATCTGTTCTGCATATGCCTGTCAGTATCTACAAATTTTGAAATCCCAGTCTGTCCCTTCCCACCCTCCCCCCCTTCTCCTACGTATTTTATTGGCTGTTCATCATATGAACATTCTTTAATTTATTTGACCAATAGTCTATTGTTGCACATGTGTTCCCAATTATTGCCAAGAATCTGCTTAAAGGAAGCTGTAACACACATCCTATGTCCTTATATTACTAAAAGTAGAATTCCTAGATCAGAGGGTGTGTGTATTTAAAATATGTTTTTCTGACACACATTGCCAGTTTACCCTCTGCAGACTGACATTCCCATTAGTAACATGAAGGAATGTTCATTTTCCTTGTAGAACATACTTTTGGAAACAGATAAGCTAATTTAAACTGAAGATATATGTTCTTTGTAAATGGAAACTGGTGGCATTGAATAGATTTGGGGGGATTTCCTCTCTAATTTGAGCGATATCTTCATGGATTATAGTCGTAACATTTATTATTACCATTATGCTTCCGACCACCCTTAGAACAAATACTCTGGATTATATATAGAGTTATCTTTTCTCCTGCTTAACTAAGAGCGTCCTTGTCCTAGAGCCATAATACTTAAGAATTTGATCAGGGCGGTCAGGGCACTGAGGAGGGTAAGGTGGCCGAGAGCTTTCAAACACCTGGTAATTTACCATTAGGTGAATTTTACGTGAACTTCTCTGGGTGTGGGAAACTCATAACCAGTTTTCCTGAACGTGAATGTATCACCTTCCTAGTCGTGATTTGTCCAGGACTACTGAAGAGCCGAGAAAACCCTAGGATCAATGGTGAAAAACCAAAGTCTGGAACGGCCACCTAACACATAAAAGTAAAGATCTTCTGGAATTTTTCTTGCCTCAAAAGCTGTTGCTAAGAGTCCTTACTCTTTATAGAGATGTCCTGAAATATTTATAGAAGAAGTGATACGATATTTGAGATTTACTTCAAAACAGGTGGAGAAGGAGAGCAGTGGGTGGGAAGATAAATGTAACAAGTTTGGCCGGAGATTCAATGTTGAAGCTGGTTGATGGGTTCACGGGGCACATTTTACTATTCTATCAATATGCGTTTGATATTTTCCATGAAAACAAAATGAAACAAAAACCATAAAACCTCCTTTGCTATGAACTTCTGGGAAAAATTGAGACAGGCCATCCATTCTCCAGGGCAAGATGGTGGGGGGCGACCACACGTGAGCTGGCTCACGGGAGGCTCGCGTCACCTCGCTCTGCAAACCAGGGTCGATGGCCTGGGTGTTTGTAGTTCCCAAGCCCGTTTCTAACCAGAGCTCAGGAATGGACTCCCACTTTAAGCTACTGGTTAAAAAATAAAAATTCAATAAAGCGCCCGAGGTACTGAAAATGTTCTAGGTCTTGAAGTGGCGATACAGTACGTAAGGGTTAACCAAGCTGTACCCTTAAGCTTATGTTCTTTTACTAACATTCATGTATCTAAATTTACAACAATAAAAGTTTATAAGAGAGAACAAAGTACCCAAGACTTTATGCCCAGAGCTGTTTAAGATTGTTGTAAACTGCCAGCTCTGATCCTCAGAAAGAAGAGGCACTGCCGACTTGTTCCCTCTGCAGACACCATCGTGCCGGCGCAAGGGCAGCAGGTAGCTCGTGTCTTAAAAAGCCAGCCTGAATACAGGATCACCCAGTGTGTTTGCTTACTCCAGTGGGGGCAGCATAGCCAGAGGTAAAAGTCAGGCGTTAACATCAGATCTGCTTAGGTTTGAATCCCATTAAGTAACTGTGTGACTTTGGGCAGAACTACCTCTCAGCCTCAGTTTCCTTACCCATAAAATAGGAAGAATAATAATAACACCGCCTACTTCATAGGGTTGTTCTATTCAACGAGATATATGGGGAAAGAACTCATAGTCCACAACCCCCCCAAAATTAGTTATTAGCTTGGTTGACGAATTTTTAGCCTGGGTTTTTCATGTTAGCTGATGTTGCACGTAAGGAACAGGCAGACTCTAGACATAGCTTGTCTATTACATGCAACACTGTATTCCTTCGAAACCTTCTCAGCCTTTCGATCTGTTGACAGGAATTGGTTACGGGTCTGTCTGCACAAGCTGAAGACAGATACACTCAATCCTGCTGCCCCCTATTAATGCTTGTATTAAATCTTAAAGAACCTGAGCAATAGAACAGGTGTCACAGAAGAGAGAGACAACTGCCTTCTGTTGTAAAGCACAGAAAAGCAAGCACTTTTCTCTATGCAGATAAGACCATTCTTATTATCTCAAACTCAGAGCTCCTGATAAAACCCTCTTGGCTAATCACTGCCAGAGAACTCAGATACTTGCAAAATAAATTTACATTTGGTAGTTATTTCTCATCTTTAACTGGTTAACAATGTTATATAAATTACTTTGTCTAATTAGCTCCATGCACATCACAGATACTTCATCCTATAGGGTAGATATGGCAAGAAATATTCCGACTAAAAGTTATGACTTCCAAGGGTGCTTAGTTAAGATTTTATTTTGGTGTTAATATTTTTATTTAGAGCTTATGTTAAGGTTATGTTGGAATTGTATCTGGTTAGAATTATTTAGATGTTCATTGTACTATTTTTTTAAACTTTTCTGTATTGAAAACACAAAGTCGGGAAGATGTAGCTGTGACCATGTTCTCTGGATGTGACCTTTGAGGGTCTTACTTGTGTGCTACAAAGGCTCCAGACAATTTCCTCAGGAGAAGTCTACACCTGACTGTGGCTTTCCGTTGTGGGTGAGAAAAGCCTTTCACCCCACCAGCTGTCCTTAGGCACCTCAGCTTTAATAATAGGTCAAACTCTATTCTTGAAGTTCAATTAAGGCATATGTGTCTGAATTTAAGACAACTTAGAATAGCTACATTCCAGGATTTGGCTAGGAGTGCAATCTCATTTTGTCACCCAATATTTGTTAAAAACTCAGTAAGGAGAAGCAATTTTCAGGGAGGATTATTTCAAGCATACATCAATTTTTGCACTTTTTCCGTCTAGTCTAAAACATATCCATGGATTAAACCAGTTCACTAGACAGCTGGCACCTTGCCAGGCAGTGCCATCATCTCCTGAAGTATAATTTTTACCAATTTGTACTTTTGTGTGATATCAACATTGTATATTGAGTGTGTGAGAAACAGCAACTTCTGTTGCATCTATTTTAAGGAGGTGTGAAAACGTTGTTCCTTTCTATCACACAATAACCACTTTTTAGGATTCCAGAGAGAAATATATCTGATCTTGGTACCAAAAATAGTCAATAGTAATGGTAATCTCAACTTTGTCATTAGAAGGAAAGAAAGAGAGAGGAGGAAGAAAGAAAGAACACATTTCCACCTACCCTCTCTGACCCCTTCCTCAGAGAATCTTAGCAAGAACGGAGAGGTTTGGCTACACAAGTATCCTGCAATATGCCAAAATCAAATAAGTTCTTTTCTACAGTCCCAACGACAAAATACTTCTGGAACTAGAAGCCAAGATGCCTTTGTGCAAAAAGTACATCACATCATTTTGCAACTGGTCGAATATTTTAATGCGCCCAAATCCTAAACCCAGCCTCATATATTACGTGAGTTTCAAATCAGTAGCAGACGCTGCACACGGGTGCTGACTGGTTCATCAGGCTTCTCCAGAGAAACAGGACCAGTAGGATGTATCCAGGTGTCTCGTGAGGAGACTTAGCGCAGGACTTGGCTCACGCTGTTGTGGAGGCCAAGTCCCACAGTCCGCAGGCTGGAGGACCAGGAGCCCGGTGGTATAATTCAGTCTGTGGCCAAACGCCTGGGAACCAGGGTAGCTGATGGTGTAACTCCAGACGGAGGCTGAAGGTCCGAAAACTGGGGGCCTCTGGAATCCTAAGGCCTGAGAACTGGAAATTCCAACGTCCAAGGGTAAGAGAAGAGGAGAGAGAGAGACGGAGAGAGAGAGAAAACTCACCCTTCCTCCACACCTTTTTGTTCTGTTAGGGCCCTTACCAGACTGGATGACGCCAGCCCGCATTGGTAAGGATGATCTTCTGGGCTCAGCCGACCGATCCAAGTGCTAATCTCTTTAGGAAACACCCTCAAGGACACACCCAGAAATAATGTCTTACCAACTATCTGGGCACCCCTCAGCCCAGTCAAGGTGACACATGATTAACCATCACACCGGTCAAGAGAAAAGTCCCTGTGTGCCAGGCCGTGGCCATCTCTGAGGCCTGTGATAGGAGACAGAGAGTCTTCATTCACTCATTTTCTCCTTTATGTGCTTTCCCTGCTATATGCACTTCTCTGTGGGTAAAAGAGGGCAGAGGCCCCATACCCATCTCTGCACCCTGCATGTGGCATGGCACGTCACGGTCACCCAGTGCTCAGCAAATATCTTCTGAATTAAATCGGATGGTGCAGTTGAGCCCACAATCTCCATCCCCCTGTGGAGGGGCCTTTCCATCCTCCAGGCCTCCGGGACCACGTTAAGCCCAGCCTCCGCATGGTCGCCCAGGTTGCTGTCCCGAGGCAGAGTTCACTCTGGTGCTGTCCCTTGTGTTTCCTTGTTGCCACCAGGACATTCTTTCTTCCACTAGTGAGCAGAGAGACCACGTGGCGCACAAGCAAATCCCTGCTTCGCACAGAAGCCCAGCTAGTGCTCTCATCAGATGGGGTGTGTACAGGGCGTGTGTGTGTGGTGGGTGAGCTCGAAGGAAACCTCATGGGGTCCCCTGCCACTGAGTGGGCCCGTACCCAACACCAGGAGCATTCGAGAGCACTTTAGGAAGAGGAATTTTTAAAATGTTATTTATTTATTTATTTATAAGACTATTTTAGGAAGAGGCAATGACTCTGCCACTTTTCTACCAGCCCCAGCCTCGATAAACTACTCAGTTTGCTGGAGACACAGACCGTGAGAGCTGGAAATAATCTCGAAAGCCCAGCACCCAAGGCCTCCTGCGGGAGAGGAGGTCTGTGTGCCGGGGAAGGGAGCCTGCCCCTCTCAGGGGGGCCGTCTGAAGGAGGATGTCAGATGTGCACATTAAAATGCTTCCTGGCAGGTCCTGGCCACTGTCTGGCGTGTAGGAGCTGCAGCTCCCACACTGGGAGGCCCCGAGGCCTGCCTCCTGGAGCCTGGGTTTTCTCTGGCCGTGTGAGCCGGGGAGGGCAAACCTCTCCAAGCCTGTTTCCGCAGCCTGTTTACTGGGATGGTTAAAGACAACGTAGAAAGCTGCTTGGTGTGTAGTGATAATAACTAGCATCTAGTAAACGCCTACTCGATGCTTCACGTCTGTTAACTTGTTAAAGCCGTGCAGTTCAACAACCTGTGAGGTAGATGCTCTGATTACAGCCATGCTCACAGATGAGGAAACTGAGGCACTGAGAGCCCGAGGAACTCGTCCAAGGAAAATAAATGACAGGGCCAGGATTTCTAGATTGTCCAAATCTGGCTCAGAGTCTGTGCCTTCAGCCACTACGTCTGCTGCCCCTCATTTACTATGATATTTACAATTTTTCTTGGCAGGAGGAGTCATTTGGGAGGATAATTTGTCAATATTGTTCATTGTGTTCATTAAAAGGTACTTATCCTTTAATGCAGTAATTCCACTGCTGGCAATCAATCCTGAAGGAAGAACTATACATATATAAAAACCCAAATGTAGTGTTCTTTTCTTTTTCTTAAATCACAGCATTATTTATAATAGGGAGAAGAGAAACAATCCAATTGTTTAGTAAAATGTTAATAAATAAAATCATAACACATCATCTAGATAGATAATTACATAAAATGATCATATGTGCAAAATATACATCTAGACTCTTTTTTCACAAAGGTTAGAAAAAAACACCCCAAAACATTACAGGTGGTGGGCTGTGGAAGCGTGTTTTAATGTTCTCTTTCACCAGCTTTACAAGTGGTCTATCATACAGCCCTTCTGCTTTCAGCAACTTGTGCACTTAATGCTGCCTTCTGAACTCGT